AAAATGCTTTAATATTCTATTCACAATACAAAATTCAATTGACTAACACTGAAACATCAATATTTACTATTTAGTGGAGGACAATCACTGGATGCGACAGCTATACGCCGAAATAAAGAGAGAAACCCAAATGACCGGGCACGAATTGGGTTTAAGGTTGATGCAGCAATGGAATACCAGAATCTTAGCTGGACTCCAGTTATCGGGTGTTTAAAGGTTTCTGGTGGTCTTCCACGGTGCTCACGATCTAAAGAGTGGGATGATACCCTCAAACTAGGATTAGAACTTCGGGACCTATGGGCTGTTGCTGAGGATCAATTGAAAGGCACGGATGTGGATAAATTGGTCTGGTGGGATCTTACAGTAGTTGGTAAGTATTACAATTTAAAAATGCGAACAATTTCACGATATGGGGTAAGTCAGTAGAAATGACTAAATCTACTGACCCCATGTACGTATACTGTATAAGTGCTAAACCTAAATGAAAATTAGGCCGCAAGATCAGAGTGTACGCTTTTGCTGCTTCTGGTGGATTATTTCGTTTGGTCCTAATGTATGAGGCTTTCCTCCCGTCTTCCCGTGAAGATCTTTATAGCTTGGAACTTGCATATCTTGTTTTGAAGGAATACAAGAAGAAGCTAAGAATATGCTGTGTGAATTCAGTCGAAAGAAGGTGCAGATGATTACTAGAAAGAGGGATTTAGAGGAGTCAGCGGAAAATATATTGACAAAAAAACCAAAAATTGTAGACACACCTATTCGTGATGCACGAAATAGGCGAAATTGTCTGCTATTTACGTCGTGAATGTTATTTTATTCAAAATAATTATATCACAAAGTCATAATATGCGAATAGTGTTGATGTAGTTGTGCATCATGTTTATTAGTTTAATAAATAAAAACACTTATACATCAATTTTATTTGTACGTAGGATACAATATGGAGAAGCAATAGAGCAGGAAAAGTGGTTATTTTTGTGATGTAATTTTTGCTTGAATTTTCCAAAAGATTTTTTTAAAAATTTTATTAATAAAATTATCGGATTATTTGAATCCAAATTATTTTAATTTGTAAGCTACAATCATTGAATTATTTTTGACTCGAACATACAATAATATAACATTGATTCTAATTCTGTTTCTAGAATTTATTCGAAAAATAAAAAATTAAATTTATGACATATAATCAATCAATTTCATAGAGAATATCTTTAAATCTAAATTGCAATATTTGAACTGTGATTCTGTAGTTGATAATACAGTATGAATTATAATAAA